TCCAAGATGATCATCCACAATAGTTAGGTAGTGATCTAATAAAAGATTCCGATATGAATACTCATCATCATGAATTTCAAATATTTTCCCCCTCAAATATTATATTTACGTTGGAAGCGTTTTATGCTTCGTGAAAGCGTTCGAAGGTAAACCTTCGGTAGTTAATGCAAGTGTGTAGCCAATGTTTATGACCGAACAGATAAGAAAGGGGTGCCTTTACGACTTTCTCCATTGTTCCCCGCTCGCCAACAGTGACATTCTTTTGAAATCGCGTAATGGTCCGAAGTTTCCTTCCACTTTGGCCGATTTATCTGCAATCGTCGCAACAAACAAAATTTATACTAATGCGTCGAAATCTAACTGCAAAAATACCGAAATATCGGTTCACTCTATCTTTGAAATCATTAACAATATAAGACATTTGCATATTTAGAATAAAAAAAAAATCAATTTTCAAATTGATCCTATTTTATAAATGAGATTGATTAAGTTTTGTAATATAAATAATGTAAAAAATTTGAACAAACAATTATAATATCTTACGATGTTAATTTTTGCAAATGCAAAACAAAGTTGAAAGCAATTGCAGCATCAATATAATCAAATACAAACTAATGCTTGAGGACAAAGTTCGTTTGCAAACAGTGGTTTTTCCCAACATCTGCGAAATTCCCAATTGCGTGTCTGCCTGGAGGATCTTAATTAACCCGAGTTCTAAGTTTAAACACCTGTGGAGCATCGTTTGTCGTCGACGCCGGTTTCCCCGCGATTCGTCGTCTTGGAAACGAGCCAAGAGGTCTCTTCGTGGAACTCTCGACCGAACTGAGGAAGTATTTTGATCCTGGAAACCCCATGACAGATTCAAATCGAGCGTTCCATCGAAATAATGATTTCGTCGATAACCGGTCGCGTAATTTAGATCTAAAATTTTCCAAAAATAAATTGTTTTTTTTTTATTGGAAGAATAAACGCAACAGTGATACACATGTTTTGTCGTTTATCATTCGAAATGTTTCCAGGATGTGGCTTCCTTATTGTATCGCGTATCATTAAAAATGCGTTCACACAGTTTTCTTTTTTTTTTTATTGGAAATATACTTGCGCACATGATCACGTGATACGAGAACGTGAGTATGTCAGAACGCGCGTCTTTTCTATCACGTTTTTACTGTGACATTCTTTTTTATGACGTTGGTTGAAAGGGTGATTAGCGGTTACTGTTATGCGCTAAACAGGCCGATTAATTATTTAAAAGGAGTATTTTGACGTAACTTTTCCCACAACACAAAAAAAGAGAGAGATAGAGGAAAGATGGATGACGATAATTAGAATATGCCATGAGGAAAACCTGTTCCCTTTTGCGTCATTCAGAAATAAACGTATATCCCAGCCAAGCACGAAGTTATACTCGTGAACACGAGATGGACATTCAAAACCAGCTTATCTCCGCGACTTGATATGAAAACATGTGTGGCAGCCAGATTACAATAAACAATCTGCGGTGTTTTACCAGGCAGTGGTGCTTGTGGAATTTTTAAACATCAAACACCATGTACCAGGCAGCACTATCCTTATTGTGTTACCCATAAATAAAAGTTATCATGTAACGAAAACATATTCTTCCTTAGTTGTTTTTCCAACGATAGCGTATCAAAAATATCAGATTAGGATGATACTTATTTTTATTTTATTTTATTTTAGAGTACGATATTTTTGAACAATTAAATAAGAGATAATTTTTATTATAATGGATGATATACACGCTTGCAGAAATAAATATTTCCACGAAATTTGTGCAGGCCTTCACTCTAACCTATTATCCATATTAATCTAACTGTGCCAACCCTCTCCGGATATCTCGATGCCTTCCCTTCCACCCACGCGCCAATTTCGAATTCCAGGAACTGTCGGCATATTTCCCGACTACGATAAGAACATAGGGGGCGTCCAATTAACAAGAAAGTAGTATATTCAAACAAACATACGTCATGACTCGTTCCATGTTTGCAAGAACGATAAATTTGCATCGTTTCCTAGAGATGCAACCGCATTCAATTTCAAAACAACTTTACGCATCGGATCAAATCAAAAACAAAGAGGAAACGATTTGACTTTGCATAAGAAAATCGAGGATTTATTGAATCTGAAATTCATTTACGTCGACCATTACCGACTGATGATATCGATTTCGAAGTGGATAATTTCGATTTACGTAATAAAATAAAGATTGACTGTAAAACAAGGTACAAGGTAAAACCATATCGCGTGTCTGATCGATCCCTGGAATTCTTTTTAAATTCTAATCTGCTCCCCTCCCTTCCCCATGATCAGATGTTGCGAACATTTTCCATTGGCTAATTACGACGACGATCCTCGACCGAAGCGCTCTCGCACGTGGCGTTTCAAAACAAAATGAACACGATACACAAACGGTCGGGACAGAGCGGGCGGAGCAACGATTTTTCCACGAAAACCTTTTTGCGGAGGGCATTGAAATGTCAGGCCAAGATCATCGGAGCGCTCAACTCAGCTCCGTGGGCGATTCAAGGACATGCTCTCGGCCAAACAAATTGCGGCGACGGATCGAATGATCGAACAATGTGGTTATTTTCCGTTGATAATTATATGTTTCGGCGGAAGAACGATTTCTTCAACATTACGTTGAATAACTAACGCAATCTAACGATTTCAAATTACCATTTTTTTTTTTTTTTTCTAATCTCCTTGTTTCCCCTCATTATTCCACGGCAAACGAGCAATAGGTAGAAACAATACAAAGCAACGCAAGCGGAATAATATACCGTGATAATTCATAGAGCAAAATGTTCGTGGATGCAATTATCTAGGAAAATAATCATGTGCGTAAATAATGTTTTCCGATGATTGAGAATGTGTTCCAATTTCTAATCTTGTTTTAATCCAGTCAACGCTGGACCAACGATTGTAGTTTTCGCGTAATTTAACATCATTGCCGTGTTTTCTCCGTGTATACATGGGTATGCTTTTTTTTTTTTTTTCATTCTGCGTAGCTGTTCAACGACGGTTGCTATTACATGGTAAATAATAACGCAATTACGTCGTTACTACGCGGACCAAGAGGCGTTATCGTGATATGAAACGAAAAAAAAAAAAAAAAATGTCATACTGCTGCATGATATGGGCCTTGAATAAGAAAGGAAATAATTTTTATTTTTTCAGCCACTCAAAAATATTAAACAGAATCGTATTTCGTATTAATTATAAATATTATTTTCAATTTATGAAATTTTATATTTTAAATATTACCATTTAAAATTAAAAATTCAAATAAAAAATTTTTTAAATTTCATTTTTTCATTTTCTAATTTAATCACATAAAAAGATATAATAAATTATTAAATTGTTAATTAAAATTCTCTAACCAGAGATCAAAAGGATTAATTTCGCATAGAGGAAATTTATTATTCTCGATATTCGAGTCGAATTACAATCTCCTTCTTTCCTTCAATTTTCCTCAGAAATGTAAAATAGTGGAATAATTTCATAATCACTTATTCCACTCGCTTTGTTGTTTTTCACTTGTGGACTCGATACGAAAACAATAGTAATACTATGCAGAAATTACTTCAAGATTGAAAGCAAAATTATCGTCTATGCACGAATATTAAATTTTATTCCTACCAATTAACTAATAATCTCCACTTTAATTAAATGATATAATAATTTTCACATTCACGAATCAATATTCAAATTTAGCCATAAGAATCGCCAACATTGATTCACAATTGCATCATATTTGATTAATCTGAATTTCGCAATTATAAGAATTATATTTGAAACCATAAATTATATTTTGAATCATGTTTCTAATTTCTAATTCACGTTTCTAGTTCTTTTTTCTAATAAAAGTTTCCACGATAAAAAAAAAAAAAGAGAGAGAAAAGGAAAGAACGATTTTGCGCAATGGAAAAATAACTAGGAGTTTCAATTTAACTGCAGCCAATAAAAAACTAATAAAGAAAATGCACTCGTTTATTACGAGAAATATTCGTAATTTCCTTTTGACATCCGCTACATAGGAATTAGGAACATTAGAGGAAGTGAACGCTCGAAAGCATGATCCGGCGCAAACATCGATGCACCGTCAGCTTTGAACAAAGAACAAAGAATGTAAACACGATAACACGCGCCGATTGACTGTGCGCATGACTTTCCCCGTTTGTTACACTTTTTTTTTAACGTAGTGTGCTATACGTTACATAATGCGCAAGTTGATTTTCTAGGCGATAGACCCTCACTAGTTTCTATCGAAAAAAACAATAAAATATGGAACGAGTTCTTTTATCATTTGTATTTCATTTCTCTTTGTTTCACTTAAAACATAAATATTTGCAATTGTTTAAAAATATTATGGTAAATTAATCTACGTTGTTATAATTTTATAAAGTAATCTAATATGACAGTATAAAACGATGAAAATAAAAGCGCGTAAGATTGTTAAAACGACGTTTATGCATTATTCGATAATTACGAAAGGGAAACACGTACGGTATTTCCGGGAACATTATCGACTTGGGACGTCAAGGTTTTTAAGCCTTAACTAGCCGATTCGTGAAAGCTCACTTATACGTGGGAAGAGGCACGTGCACGAAGTTGACTCTGACGAGTCTAAAGTGCATCGAGTGAAAGAAAACAAAAAGCACAGACATCAGCTATCAGCTATCAGCTATCAGCTAAAGAACAAGATAACGATGCTATTAGGAAAGAAAATATCTAGCTACCGTTGTTTGTTCTATATTCGCGAATAGAACGAATTCATTATGTTTATGATTTTTTTCCTAGTGTTATTTAATTTTGAATATTTATGGCAGAAGTCATAATCGTTTCGTATGTATATTTCATTAATAATAATATAATGCTAGTTGCAACATATGCATAAAAGTTGAATAATAAAAAAAAAAAAAAAATTGAATAATTGATATACGTTAGCAATAATTTTAAAACAATAAACTCACCTCAAACTGACTTTGACTTCTTGACTTTATGCGTGTTCACGAAAACTATATTAACTATATATTAACTATAACAACACAATCGATTAACTGAACAATTTTTTATAGATAATTTCTTTGATATTTCCGTGAAATCAATATGATTAGATTCAAGTTCGAGGAATCGCAGAGAGATTGAGGAAAAAACCAGCGATTATCTAAATCGTAGAAAAAAAAAAAAAAAAAGAACGAGAAAAAGAGAGACGGAAAAAATCACGTGAGACGACCGCGCACAACGGCAGTCGTAGTGACACTGACAGTGCTTCTGTCATCGTGCTATCACCACATGGTCGCTAGCTCGGACTCGGCCTCGCCGCTTCGGCTATCTTCGGCCGTACTCGATTCCTTTCTCGAGAGGATACAGTATACGCGAGAGAGACGAAGAAGAATCCTCGTGGACAAAAACATAGAAAAAGAGAGCAAAGAGAAGGAAAAAGGATGCATTAGTTTGGGATAAGAGATGACTTCATTCCGGCCACCGAAACGCGATTAAACCACCTTTTTTAACCAAGAAGGAATTGAAGAAATCTTTCAACTTTGCTAACCCAGCAAGTTCGTAAGTTTTTTTATAGGAATTTCGAGGAAACTTAACAGCTCAAAAATACTTGGAATTTTCGAGTACCTTCTAATAATATAATTTCGACGCGACAGATAATGTTCGATTATTGGAATTGTATAATAGAGATTTTTCTTAAGATGGATATATATATTATATATTTTATATATTTATCACGATCTGAATAAGAGAACAAATATGTATTAATGAATGTATTCGATTATTTTTTCAAAAAAAATAAAATATTATTTATCGTATTAATAAAAATTATCAATATACATTTTTATCACAAGCAAAAGACTTTAAACTATTACAAATAGCAAAAAAGAGAATAACAGTATCTTTTTTTTCTTGTCACACGTTCTTTTCTCATCATGCTAAAAAAAGATTAGATTAATCAACATTAATAGAGTCTGCGAACGATTCGCGATATTTGTATAAATGCATTCAAATACATATATATGCCTATGTATTACTAGTATTTGCAGGCATCTGATTACTAAATAGGCGCCAACTGCAAATGAGTCACAGGGATTCGATAGCACAGAATCATCGTACCAGGAAATTCGAAGTCGAGCACGTGTCGTTGCGTCATCCATGAGACCCTCTTCCGGTTTGAAACACGACTTCATTCTTCCACGAATACAGAATTATGGCGACAAATTTTGTCGATTGTTGGAAATGTTATCTTTCGATATTATCTTTGGACAGTTCGAAAGTCCTGTTCGAGAGTTTTGTTCGAAAGTCGCATAACGTGTGAAGTGTTCCAGGAAATTTAACCGAAAGAGGTTAAGTATGATTTTTTTTATTACGCGGAATTAAATATAATGATTACTTTTTAGTTGAGTATATTAGAATTCTTATTAACTTTTACGTACTTCGAATTTCAAACGATAATTTTGAAATAACAATTTTCATTTTTGATGACCAAGAAAATTTGCTAATTTTTCGTGAATTATAGACATAAAAAAATATTAAACGTTAACCGCCATAAAGCTACTACGTCTTTCAGATCTCATTTAAGCCCGTCTCGACGTAATCAGTCTCTCTTCAAACCAGCATCTAGGGCTCTTAATTGAAGTCTGGCCTTTCCTGAGCCTCGATTAACGATTACCATTGAGAACAGTGCTTCGTTGTTGGTCGCACGCCGCCTTTCCTACAAGTAACGCATACGTTCTACCTCTATTGCTTAAACAAACACGTTTAAACAGTGCTTTGAAACAATTTTGCACGTGAAAAGCAGTCGAAAAAAATCTAGAGTCACATTTCTCACGCAACAACCGCGTGTCACTTATTTCGATTATATCGAAAAGGAATTTATTTCGAGGTAGAAAAGGTATTTGAACGAGTTACGAAAGAACTTAATCCGATAAAACAATAATAGAATATTATTAATTATCAGGAAAGAATTTTTAAGCAAAGAGAATAGAACGGATGTTATTAATGATTTTAAGAAGTTCAAAAAGATTAACAGTGAGATATCTGCGTCGACGAAAGATATTGGAGTGGGGGAAATTGAATTCTGGCAATTGGAACTCGGCATTCGTGTAACTAAGATCGTCGCATTTATCGCGATATTATTTAAATATAAATATTTTATTATATATCGTCATTTGTATTCAATACGAATTACTAATATCTTATACGAATATTAATGACGATCAAAATGATTATCTTGATAAATTTAAAATGGAAACAATCGAAGTTTCTAGAACACGAAAGAATCACTCAGTGTTTTTTCCACGTATAAGCGACGCCATACGTCACGTTTATAACACGACTCAAAAATACTTGGACTGGTCTGTCAGTAGTCGATAAAACGACATAGATAAGAACAAAGTGCTCTGACTAACCATTTTTAGCACCGAACTCGAAACAAAGCCGAAGGACTGGGGAATCAAGAGGCAGTGGTGGTCCCTCGAATGGTTCATGTACAGAGGTGAACGACACGAAGGAGAACGGGCTTCCCCAGGGTAATTTTAGAAATTCCTTGCACGTCATGGCCCTGTCCTCCTTTGTGCTCGCATTCATGTGGAATTGTAGTAGTCCTGCCGTGGATTGCTTCTTTCAAGGTACTCGTTGTAGGTCAGTGTTATTATCGATTGGTAATAAAATTGCCATAGATTCTTCTTAGCTATATCCTATATATTCTAGCTATATCCGGGGTATTTTGTTCTTTACAGATTTTACGAAGTAAACGATGAGAGAAGATTGGAAAATTGACACTGATGAAGAAATTTGAATTCTTTAAAGATTTATTTTTAAGAAAATGTATGATATTATCAATGAAGTTATTTTATCGAATAAATATTTTTATAAATACGATATATTTATAAATACCAATAAGAATGAATTAAAATGTGAAAAATAAGTAAATTTGAAGCCCATTTTCAACAAATGTTAATTTCGTCTGTATCTGGCGTATCGTATAATTAAGTTTTCCCGATTCAGAATCACTACTCTTGCGAAACGAATCTAGCCTCGAGGGTGTTTAATCACCTACTTTTTGCCTAAGATGACCGATTAACTCAGATTTATCGATATCTAATTGCTACTTTTGATGCAATTCAAACTATTCATAACGAAATCCTTATAAATAATAGGTTAGAATTTTTTATTTTTGAACAATAATCTACAATTGTTTTAATAATTGTTATCAATGTTATCTATAATCGTATTTCAAAAGAATTACATCGAATTACGAAACGAATTATGAAATTACGTAACTAATAAGATTTTATTTAGAATAAAATATTCTAAATGTAGCTTGATATAACGAGTAATCTATCTTTATTTAAATTAAAAATAAAATTAAAAATATTCTTTTTTATTGAATAAATAAAATTTAAATAATGAAATACTTGAAAATATCGATATTTTTTTCTCCGCACTACTGTTATCAGACTGAATCATTTCGGTATGAGTCATCATCTAAGAAAGTAGTGATCGTAATACCCTAATAAAAAAACTCTTGCTAACAGAAACGCAATAATAATTTTGTTCAGGTAATATTCATAAAGATTTCTTTTCTTACGAAACCGATAAATTTATATTCGACAATACAAGTACATTACTTCTTCTTTCTTATCTTATATTCTTAATCGGATTATCATCAATTTTCGCAAAATTATATAAACTTAATTCATCGAAAATCGAACATCATCCATGCCAAAATTTTCCAAAATTTCGTTGACTTATAGTCAACAAACTAAGTTCAACAAACAAATAATAAATTAATTCTTATTATTAAATTGTTGATATAATTCTCATATCAAGATACAGAATTCTGAATAATCGAGCAAAAAAAGTTAAATCCGCGATCACGCGAGAAATCGTTCGATAATTGCAAGGTTGCTCGACTGTACTAATCTGTAACTTTCATAATTCGATTCTTAAACTTGATATTAAATTTGTAAAACTAAGAAAAGAATAATTATGTAAAAAAAAAAAAAGAAAAACTAAAGATACCATTAATACGCCTAAATTAATCACCACTTGCTCATATCTAATCACTATCTTTCTTTGCACACATGTCGACTCATCTTCCATTCGAGAAATGAAAAAGAAAAGGGACAAAGAACCCCGCGGAGAACTTTATCTGTCCATTCTTTCCTAAATCACTCACATAAAATGACCACTCACGTAAGCCGCTAATTCGCCAATCACTTTCACGTACACGACCCCTCCTCCCAAAAAATCGAAATAGTAGAGTGAGCACGAGTTACTCTCGTGCGTTTCGTCGTCATGGAGGTATTAACGTCGAAGGACGTGATGGCGGTCATGAAGGGAGAGAGAGAGAGAGAAAAAAAAAAAAGGATCACAAGCCGTTAAAAGAAAACGCTTCGAGGACAGAAGGGTCCGTGAATTCCTTACCAATGACGCAATCGTTCAGGCATTTCCGACTGGTTGCACTTCGGTGTTCCCCGATGAGAAATACCTTCATAATCGCGGGCATAATGACGGCCTACGTGGACCTCCACACGCGCCTCTTTCCCTATTCCTTTCCTCCTCCCTCTTAAACGCGCTCCAATTCTCGTGACCGATTCTCTCTCTTTCCTTCTGCATTCTCACGCGAGAAGAAAAAAACAGGGCAGGTAGTTACTTATAATTGGGCACGTTGCATTTTATTCGATAGACTTTTTAGATTGGAATATAATTTTTTTTTGTTTTCTTTTTTGATGAGTCATAAGGCATCGTTATCATAGTGCTCTTTAATGTATTTCGACTATGAATAATTATAATATAAAGTGAAGTATTCTTCCAGAAAGTAATTTTGATTTTTTTTTTTTTGTAATTTTTAAAAACTTAAAATATCAAACAAATTTTAGAAAAATAAGGAGAAACTTTGGTGATGTTATAATAGAAAAATATGGAATATATATTAAGAAAGAACGAATAAAATTAAAATGTAAACTTTTTCAGAATTTTAAGATGAATTTAAGAGTATCAGAAAAAAAATTTGAAAAAAAGTAAAATGGACCCATGAAAAAAAGATATTAAAATTTCTACAAAGAGAAATAATTAAAAGTCGAAACTAATATCATTCAAGGCACAATGTTGAAACTTCTAACGCATTAGCCTATAATGAACTGCTTAATATGGTAACGCTAATTTAAAAGTCACCCACGTTCTTTTTGTCCAGCCACGGGTCTTCAAACTGCCGCAGGTTATAATAAGTTTCACAAAATTGGATACACGTTCGTCCCACGTACGAGCAAAGGTCCAAAAAGGGCTATATACAGGGTTCCATGACCTTTTAAACGAGCCAGCACCTTTTATAAGGGCGAGCATCACCCTGAATGAATAGGTGGACCACTTTATCATAACCATCAGATGGGGAAGAGTGGATGAAGAAGAAGAGGTCTTTTTGAATTATAACCGGCATACAACGAGCTTAGGAGGCCGACTCTTGAACCTGATTCCTCTTCGTTTAACACACCGAGACCACTTTCACGAGGAATGCAAGCTATGAATAAGACGACTAACGTTTCTCTTTCATGCCACTCGGCCGGAAATCAATTTCAACGAGGATCACGAGAGATGGGTCCACGTGTTTTCTCAAACGTTCCTTCGTAATGTCTATTCTTCCTGGCAGACAGGCACGGCTTGGTATGTATGTTAAATATTTTATGGAATCGGACGGATCTTGATGTGGAAACAATTGGATTCGGAGCGTAAATTCGTGAGTCTTTTCGGCGATCGATACGATACGATTGTAGTCTCTTCGAAGGACAAGTGAATAGATATTGGAACCGATGATGGTATTATATCAATGTGACGAAGATTGTTTAAAATATGAGAGTAAAATAATGTGACGGTATTATTAATCGAGAATTTTTTGTTTAATATAGGATAATCGTGAGAGATGTGGATTATTTTTAGAAACTTAAATATTTTAATTAGTAATAGATATTACGTTCTTATAGTTTGTACAAGGAAATTTATGTTTTTTAAAATTTGTGTACCTGAGAACCAAATTTTTATAATAAAATTTTAAATTACGACCCATAAATTTTCTATTGCTTTAAAATTTTATTAAAATTATTGTTAAAAAAATATATATTATAAATACAGAAATGTCTTACAATTAACCGTTGACTTAAACCGAATCCGATCAATGAAGTGGAATCCCTTACACGCAAAAAAAAAGAAAGGAAAAAAAAAAAAAGAAAAAGAAAAAATTCTACAATAATTACAACGATAGAAACCTGAAAATGGCATTAAGCAAATCTCAAACGCTTCCATCTTAGTCACCTAATGTCTCGAGTCATTAATCAGTTTCATAGGAAGAAATACTATCGTACTGTGATAAAGAAAAAAAAAATAAAAAATAAAAAATAAAAACGCTAGAAAGATCGAAATTACCTCCAATCCAACGTTATTGCGTCGATTTCGCAATCAGCCGAAGGGAAAAACACCGACAACAGGTAGATATAAGAAGGTGGAGCATCGAGAAGACGTTAAAACCGAAGACATCCATTCGAGGCATTCTCGAGGGGAAAGTGTTAACGTATTGACGTCACTTCGCACGTAAGATATCTTTCCGTGGAATCGACCTCCTTTCGAGGTCGACCACACCGGATTACGGACTATCCGCTATCCAATGGAAAAAAAAAAAAAGGACGAAAAATAAATATAAGTATAAAATATGATCTTACGAGCGTGGAAACCGTACGGAGTTGGCAGTTCGAGTTCTCGTTAGGCATTTAAAACCAGATTGGAATAATTTTGTTCCTACAATAGATACCGGCGGATGTACGTTACGAAATGAACGTTTTTTGTTGTATCGAAGGAGTTTTCGCAATAACGACATTTTTTTCTACACGATTCTTTTTATCCGTTAATTTCGAAGGGGAAAAAGAATTATCGAAGATATTACGATATTGCGTGGATCTTTTCTCTTTCCACCGTTAGGTTTTCACTTAAAGAAAGGCTGCTGGTAAAACGTTAATGAGTTTGTAATTGATCATCGTTCTGAAAAATCGTTCGGAATTTTGTAATGCGCGAAATTGGCTATTTTGTAAGAGTGTAAAATTTGTGCAATTACCTTTTACTCGTCGAAAAATTAAAATATAATTAAGTATCATTTTTAACCCGAATTACCTTAAAAATAACTAATTATATTTAAGAACATAAAAAAAAAATCCAATCCTTCCAAAACTTTCTCGAATAACCATCAAACTCAAGCCAGCCAAAGCCAAAGAATAGATTAAAGTAAATTGAATTTCAAGCAAATTACACCTCTCAACATCATCGCAATTCTTAAACTGAATGAATCCGGATTTGATTTTCCCGGTATCAGTAATAACTAAAAATAAGAAGAAAAGGAAGAAAAAAAAATGGAATCTAGTTAGAACAATTACAACAGACACAGAGAGCAATATGCACGAGAGAGATCGAAGCTGTGAACGTTTTTCCTGGTACCGGATGTCTCGCGGGAGCATAATCGACATGTTTACGAGGCATCGCGAATAATAATGGCGGTCGATCTCGCGTGTCGCGGTACGCCGAGTTGCTCACGCGACACGTGCTCGGATTTTCATTCATAAATCGCTGGTTAAACTACGCGAGGCCCCGATGAATCATCATCCCGCGTAATACGCGACCGAGGGACTGAGGTAAGCCAGGCGAAAATAAAGAAGCGGACAACTTCCGTTTTTTACGCGTTTTCATGTTAATCTAATATGGGCGATAGCCTGTATCCTTCAAAGATCGCCGCAACGATGGAACAAAGTGATTTTCCTTTCCGCGACAGAAGAGAAAAAGGATGATAATTGAAGGATAATGGAAGGATGTCGATATAGAGATATAAT